GTCAAAATTATTGTTAAAAATATACTAAATATGTAAAAAAAAATTTACTAGCATTTCATACTTTATTTAAAAGTAGTCAATAAATATGACAATGTTTACATTATGCTGTATCCAATGCTTAAATGTTTGAACAATTGTTGCTATGTGTTTTTCGTCGGATTATTTATCTTATATATGTTTCTAAATACGCACCAATGCTGAGGCAAAAAGCCTCTGGAAATTTCGGCCAATTTTGTGCAACATGTACTCAACTATCACAATCGCCAATCGCCAACAGTTCAAGTGGCAATATAAATAATTCGCTATCGGGGATTTTTTGAAAGTAATGACTTTTCTTAGTCACTCAATTCTTAACAGATATTACGCGATATTTAATTCATAGTAACAACTAAATCCCTCAAAAATTTACCGGAACATGTTAAAGGACAAAAATTCTGATATAACGTAACTTTAACAAAAATAATTACCGTAAATTCATTATTTCAATAATTAAATATTACTGTAAAATTGTGGTTCAATATTTTACGGTAATTCCTTTTCTTTTGATAAGACGAATTTTTAAAAACGTATTTTGCTGAAACCGAAGACATAAAGCTGCCGGGAAAGGGAAAAAAAATGAAAATAAAAAATTTGAACTATTTTATCTTAATTATTTGAGCCTATAGATATGTCTTTCAATTTTGAACATGATTTTCGTAATGTTGATCTATCTATTTGATCATTTGCTTTTTTTCACCCTTCACGAATAATGGGTATCCAGCTAGTTTATTTATAAAAATAATACTTTTAAATTATAGCACTAATATTTATCGTGATAAATTAAAATAAGTATACTTTTACTTTACCTGTTACTACGACAGCAATGCAAATAAAAATTTGAGTCAAAACATAACCAATGAAGCAAATCCACGTGTAAGATATCTTGTACAAAATAAAAGTATCTCTAAAAAGGAAAAAAAATATTCATAGCAAAAATTAGTAAAGATTTTAAATATAATAATATATATTAGGGTTTCTTACATCATTCAGAATATTGTAATTGTGCAATAATAAACATATATTGTGAAACATATATTTTTTGAGATCTATATAGATATTGATCCTACTTCAAAGATCGATGTTCTTTTTAACCTGCTAACTTCACTATTAATTTTCTTATATTATAATTATTCTGTTAATTTCAACAAAAGAGATGTATTTGTTAGTAATGCTCTATTCTCTACAGTTAAATATATAAATATGCTTGATAAAAATTTCGTTTCCCTGAGTAGTTTTTTTTGTTTATGGAAAATAGATTTTATAGTTTCATTTCGTGAAAAAAATATTAAAAGAATGGTAGAAAAAACTGTCAACCAAATAAATATTGTTTTTTTTTCTCCATAAAACTCAGTTTAGAAAGAAACTTTCGTAAAGAAATTGAAAACACGAGTTTTGAAGCTAAAATCAAGAAGAAATTGATAAAATTGTGGCGACTTTAATATAAGGACTAATTGAACCATATTACCATGAAAATATATTCAAGGATAAATAATTCAAATATTTATTTGCACAGTACTTTGTTCTACCTGGATGGCAACATGGTGTTACTTAGCTCCTTGAGATTGTAGCTAGTCTGTATATTATGGTTCAATGTATCGATATTAAGTGCGTAAAATAAAGAAAACGGAAAATCCTGAATAACTTTTGATCAAATAATCGAATTCTCTAGTGGTAGGACTCAATTTTAATAGTTCAATGGTCAGGCCGCAAATAGGCTAATTAATTAGTGCAGACACTATCTTAAGTTAATAAATCAGACATAACTTTGTCTAAATAAGCGTATCTTTTTTCTCGACGAATACGGATTTTTGACATTCGAAATATGAGGAAGGGGTATCCTCATTCTGGAAAATATGGCTCCAATAGTTTGGTCAGGACAGCAGTCGTAAGTATGGACAACTTAATTTTTCCGTATTTCGTCTTATCTCAAAAACGTTTTCCAAGCAATCCGAAATCGGCACAATTATAAAATACACTTCTCCAAAGAATATTCTTGAACAAAAAATATATTTTTTACTCAGATTATTAAGACTATTATTTGCTGTTAATGTTAACGTATTATTAAAAACGAGTTTTCTTTAAGGAAATTTTCTTAACAATTAAAATAAAAAACATCATAATTACTATATAAACATTTGATCGAAAAAATAAGTCAAATAAATTCCACAGAACTAAGCGATTTTTATTGATTTATACACTAGGAAGAATGGCCCTAAAAACCTTACGCGTAATCTAAACATTAAGAAAATATTTATAAACTACAGCAAAAATAAAAGACTATGTTGATGTAAATATAATTAAGTGTACTTATGTTTTAGCTGTATGTAAATAAGTATCTTAAGTTAAAATAATTAATACACGAATACTAAATCACAATAGAATTTCACAAGAAAATGAATTTTTTTAGTAAATTTCTTGCTGGGACAAAAAACTCATACGTGTCTTTTACTGATTTCTTTCAACAGTTATAAACAGCAGCAGGTTGAGCTAACATCTTCAGCAGCATGGTTATAGCTTTATGATATTAATGAAGTCCACAAACATAAGGATAACAGAACATAAGAAAAAAACGCGAGAAAGTGCAGTTGTTTCAAAGTCTGTGTACGGGGCTATACGTAAAATTGCCCTATTTTTTTAAATCGTTCACGAGTAAACTACTTCGCTTTTATTTATGATTACTGTGTCACACATTTTTATCTCAAATCCAAGTAATCATTCCTTTTGTTACGATCATTCCTGTTCACGGAACCTGAAAATCAAAACCTGTTCACGGGGCGATAAGTAAAATTTTCCGATTGTTTTAAATCATTAAAGAGTAAACTAATTTATTTCTATTGATGATTTATACTTGGATTTGAAAAAGATATCTTTTTCAAATCCAAGCAATAATTCCTTTTGTTACGATCATTCCTGTTCACGGAACCTGGAAATCAAAACCTGTTCACGGGGTGATAAGTAAAATTTTCCGATTGTTTTAAATCATTAAAGAGTAAACTAAATCGCTTTTAATGATGATTTATATTTGGATTTGAAAAAGATATCTTTTTCAAATGCACATAATCATTCATTTTGTTACTATCATTCCTGTTCACGGAACCTGAAAATCAAAACCTGTTCTCGGGGCGATAACTAAAATTTTCCGATTGTTTTAAATCATTAAAGAATAATCAAATTCGCTTTTATTGATGATTTATACTTGGATTTGAGAAAGATATCTTCTTCAAATCCAAGTAATCATTCCTTTTGTTACGATCATTCCTGTTCACGGAACCTGGAAATCAAAACCTGTTCACGGGACGATAAGTAAAATTTTCCTATTGTTTTAAATCATTAAAGAGTAAACTAATTCGCTTTTATTGATGATTTATACTTGGATTTGAAAGAGATATTTTTTTCAAATGCACATAATCATTCATTTTGTTACGATCATTATACTAATGAAATTTTATTATAAAAATATATAATAATTAAACACTTAACTATCAAAATAATCTTTTTTTTTTCAAAAATGTCAACTAAATCAAAAATAGTACTGAATGTGAAACAATCAGTGGAACTGGTGAGTGAAGCCTCCTAATTCATAAATGGTTTTTCTATTACAAATAATTTGATAATATCTTTTCGATTGCTTAATCAATTTGTAAATGTACAAATTATGAAAAATTAATTTATGTTTGAATACAAAAATTTAGTAATACTTACGTCGTAACTTTCTGATTCTGTAAAAGAGTGATAGTAGCGTTCATTCCAGTGTTTGTAGCATTTAGTAAAGGACACATGTCAGTGGTGAGAGGTAAAGATGGTTCATTATACCTTGAATGTAAGGCTCCGAAGCCCAGCCATGTCGTCAGTGAATATCCTACGACGAGGGCAACTGATACACACTAAAAATAATTTTTTATAATTATAAGTTTCTTTTCATGTATATTTATTAAAAAATTTTATAATAAATAAAGTTTCATTATGCAGGCAGAATTTTGTTGATAGAGACATTTAGAACCTAAAATCATTCTGAAAACCCATAAAATTAGCGACAAAAAGTGCACGCGAGGATTTTTTCACCGAACGTTTAATTGCGTAGCAACCATTGAGAAAATTCTAGCCTTAGTGGGGGGAAGAAGTAATGAATTTTTTCGAAGTCCACTCAGTTACTTTGCAACGAATGAAAATTAGAAAGAAATATTTATCTCTCTAAGATTCTTCTATTAATGCTGAAGCGAAAAACCGGAAAAAAATAGTGCTTGCAGTCCCTCCGTGCGGAAGAAGTTAAACTTCGTTACCTGCGACGTTAGTTGTAGAAAAATCAGTAGTCGTGGAAAGATCACTAGTTCTATTCAACGACTCTTTTTCCTGCTCCGCTCACTTCCATGCTCTGTAATAACGGTAATATTGTGCATTTTTCCCTCGTGGGACTCTTGAACCAGTGGAATTGCTTGTGGTTGCCTCATTGCCTCGCCATGGAAAATGTATTTGTATTAATAATGTATGTGAATGCGTCATAATGTAATTTCAAAAGAGAAAACCTTACAATCACTTGATATTCACAAGAGACGTACCTTGACATAGCCTTAAATCCTTCACCTTGTCCGTGGGATTGTTTTCACTCATTTTTTACAATTGTTTTCCGCTAAATTTGAAAATAAAAAATACTATCCTATTAAATTATATGTGTATCAAATCAAACTAAAAGAATCTATATTATATAAAACGCTAATACGTATGTATCAATAAAACCGATGATATTTCTTTTCTCGCGATGGCAACAGTTTTCATTTTTAATTAATAGGCTTCAGCGCGCAAGAGCACGTAACGTAGTGAGCATCATATGTCTAATCGGGTGAATTCTCACCGAATTATCAAAAAATTCTCACAAAATTATCTTCATCGAAGTCGATGCTTTACATCCGGCGTTCAGTACTATTTCATATCATTTTACAATACATGGTTTTAGCCCTCTGGTGGGAAAGACTTTAAAACAAAACTTACAACATTTACTTTTCTCTACTACTGAAATTTAGAATAGTGTGATTAAGAAAAATATGTGATCTGTTTGCAATTTCAAATTAAAATTGAAATGCACAAGCTTAGATTTTTCTACAGTGAAACGTTTTCGGAACTTCAGTGTTCAAAAAAGTATACAAAAGCTAGACGTTAAGAGCGTATCCAATGAGTAAGCAAAGCGAGCATCGGATTGCGAAGCAATCCAAAATGAACTGCGAAAGCAGTTCCGTGGGTTGGCCAACGCCAGCGAGCAGGGGACGAAGCCTCCTAGTATTTATAGAAAAACAATACTTTTATGACTTTTATTATTTTTGTGCTAGTGAGAACCAAAACAATATGGAAATGAATGAGGGAAAACTGGATCCTACCACGTGATTTCCCGGCCAATAAAAATGTAGCGTTAAACGTTTAACGCAACCTTGTTGGAAGTCGCATAAGAAGTATAACTTCAAAAAGATAAAGAGTAACTTTGAGTTTACTTTTTCTTCCCAATAAATGAATTAATTTTATTAATCTCTTAATTTCCTTTAAAATTTTTGCATACGATATTTTCAACGTCGCTAAATTTTATCAGCAGTTATTGTACTTAGATGTGTTTAATTTTATAAACACAAACAATATTAAACTTTCCTACCATAAGGAGTTAAATATTATGTCTGCTTCCCTCAGAAACCTAACTAAAGTAAATATGTGCGAAATGTTCAATATTTTTCCAGCTTTCTTCAGTCCATATGCTCAAAACAAATAAATATACAGAAACAGCGTATTAACTTTGAATTATGACTTAGCTCACAAAACCAAACATTTTAGGCAAAAGTGTGATGTGAGATTCAATGCGTGATTCAAACCGATGTGTTGAACGACAAAAAAGTTTCATAAAAATAAAAAATTCATACAAACTTGCCAACAGTTTCTTTAACTGCTATATTTATTCCAAAATTTGTACATTTCAAAAGAGCTCGATATTTTAATTTCTTCATTGACATTTCTGTAAAGTGAAGAGAAGAAATAATAATTTTTCACTCTTGATTTTTGGTACTGTTTAAGTTTACAAATATTCCAGAAATTTGATCATTTCAATTTGATTTATGAAACAAATAAATATTTACAAAAACAAAGTATTTTAAGTAAAACTTAAATGAACCATTAATTAGTTAAGCAAATTTTTAAAATCACTACGTGTTTATAGTTTTTTTTTAAAAAATATTTCGTTGCCGCAAGCATTGCTCTTGACTTCCATATCTATACATATGTATGGTAATTTAATTTTAAAAATGTACTATAAAATTATTGAAACAACATTTTTTTTCACATTTGACTATTTAAAATATAATTTTTCAATCCAAATAAAGAAACACTTTACAGATAGAGACGTTTATCAATAATGTTTAATATTCTCTCACACTCAGGTACGCACTTTTTGAAATAATTGCACATCTTCTTAAAAACTTTGGTTATGTAATTATGTAAGTAGTCACTGACTACTTGAACGAGATGGAATATGAACCATAGTTGATAAAAGTCTCTTTCTTTTACAAATGAGAGGAAGAAAAATTAGTAAAAATTGAAAAAATATGACAATCAAGGCTAACATCATCAGCCCTGAATTGTCATAAAAATGCAAAAATGCATAAGTTTTGCATTTTCATGACAATTCAGGGCTGATGATGTCAGCCTTAATTGTCATATTTTTTTTACTTTTTACTATTTTTTCTTCCTCTCATTTATTTTATTCCTCTCGGTTTCTTTGCTGCCTAGCGCATTTTTTCCATTTGGATGTTATTTTTATTTTTATTAGTATTTTATTTTTATTAGTATTTTGAATTATTTTCTTAATCTCTTTCTTTTACCTTATCATCTACTTTTCTTGTTAAAACTCCTGTCAGAAATACAGCTAAAACGAGACCTTCCAACGAAGATACAAAAACATTCATAAGCTGAACAAGACTTCTTACTTCTAAAAAACAAAACTCAAACCGATGCTTGCTCCACCATACACAACAGCTGTAAAATGTTAATTTAAAACATTTATTTCAGTAACTGCTTTTTGTCACATTATCGTATTAAAATACATCATCGTGAACAAAAAGCTGTAAAATCAAAACTATTAATTTAAAATGAAATGATACTAATGGGGGTAGTGTTAGTTCTAACTTAAGAAACCATTGATAAATCTTCTAATGGAATATATTTGAAACTAAATCTTCGTTAACTCTTACTATTCATCCTTATATTACTTACTATTTTTCATCTTTCAGAAATTTCATGAAGTTATTCCTTTTTAAAAGTTAAAAATATTCACTATTATGTACGCACATGTTAAGTTTCGGAACACTCTTTTAGAATAGAAAATTCCAGTAGACCAAACTTTCTATACTTTTAGATCAAAATACAGACATGAGGCTTTCTAATTGTACATCAATCCAAATTTAGGCTTAGGAAGTTGTATCTATTGTTATGTTCCATATAATCTATATATGTTATATACATCGTATAACTGCAAATATTAATAGGTGTAATTTTTTTTTCAAGATTTTATATCAAAATATCATGAGGGTGAATGACGGCAAGAACTGCTATAAAGCTCCATTTTAAGCTTCAAAACTACTTATCTTAGATACAATATCCAAGTTTGTCTGATTTTTAATGTACTTTATGGATTCAAAACAATGATAGGAATAAACAGTGTTAATGAGTTTAAAAAATTTCAGCATTTTATCTAAAATTATTTAAAAAATTCCTTGATGAATAGAGTGGCATGTAAATCTCAAAACAATCTTTAAAATAATATATATTAAGTTCCTACAAAAATTAAAAAATAATATTTTACTCTTAGAAGCATATTTTGTTTACTGCTTCCTACTTAATTTTAATAAATTAACTTAAATTCAGGAAAAATTCGGTCAGTGTCGAAAAATGATATTCTAGCAACTTATAAGTTTATATAGAATTAACAGATGATATTTGGAATACGTAAATAAAATTGTGTCTTTAAATTAGAAAAATCGGAAAATAACAAATTTCTATGTTTAATCTCCTGATGATTCCTCTTTCAATTTCTGAAGAATTACGCCAATAATAGTTAGAAATCGCTTATAACAAAACTGAGGTATTATACAAAGTTGTGATTTTTTATCTAATTATTTTAAAAGGATTTCCTCAGCCTAATTAAAAGTTAAAAGAAGGAAAAGAAAAACCATGTTAATCAAATTGATGCTTGAGAACATGCATCAGAAAATATAGACTAAAATCTCGAACTTACACAATATTTTTACCAACCACACAACTTTCCTGTCAGATATAACTCCTCGCTTTCATTCATACAGTGGTTTGATGAAATCCAGAACTGTCACAGTGGAAGCTGAATTAAGGCACGAAGATATAGTACTCAAAGAAGCACTAAAAATGCCAGCAATACAAATCCCTGTCATTCCAGGTATTGAACTGAATTTGTTAACAATAAAAGCAGGAATAATCTAAAATTTAAAATACATAATATTTTAAATTACGTACTTTTGGTAAGTAATAAAAACATTTTCAGTTTAAAAGACAAAATACCTCCGAAGGAAAAAAAGCATCTGTAAAATTAAGGACTATGTGCAGTAGATGCCAACTCTTTCAGTTTTCCGGGGAGAATTTATTAAAGTGGTAACGAATTTCATGTTATTCCATTAAACTTTTTAAATAATACTAATGATTATAATTATGTTTTACCACCACTACATATAAATAATTACAGCAAATTTATAAAAACATAATAGTCTTTACGATAGAAAATTTCAACATGATCAAAATATAAATATATTTTTCTGTAAGATTGCTTTTTGGTTATTGTTTTATTACCATTTGGAAAAGTTATTCTCGGAAAGAGGGAAAGTTGGCAGGCATGCATATGTCTGATTAAATAGACGTATTTTTGAATTTTTAAACTTATAATGAATAGATTTACTTAAAAGTTACAATATGCATAATAAAAAAGGATTTAAATTAATTAAATGAGAACTTTTAAACGTTATTTATAATTTATAATTTTATACTGTTTTTAAAGGACTAATAAATGCAAATGCCTACTTAAAACCAATTCTTTCTTGACGAACAAGTACAAATAAAAAAAATTTTACTTTCCCTCAAAACATATCAATCAAACGCATCTTTTCATTAAAAAAATGAAACAAAGGATCAAATCATTAAATTGCATGATATTTTAATAATATAATATTTAGGAACAATAATGTAAGAAAGAAAAATGTTTATGTAGCTGCAACACATGTGTACTAAAGTTCTAAGTTTAAATCCTTTAACTCTGTTTAATTGATTAGTTTTTTTATTTAGTTTATAATTCGATTATTTGTTTTAAATATATAACTTCTACTAGTTCAATGGAACTCAAAAAGATATTTCCTGGTGTGCATGAGCAATTTAAGCGACATAGAGGATTTTCTGTAATATTATTTCATAATATTATTTCTTTATTCAACGTATCTCTCCGAACTGATTAGTCGTTGGATCATATTAGAATTATTTATTGATCAATTATATATGAAAAGACTTACTGGAACAATTAAATCTTTAAAAGGAAGATTACATCTTAAAATGGGAATAATACTACGGTACATAGGTTGAGAAAGCCACGATGATTAAAGTTTATCTTCAAAAGGTTCTGATCTTGGATTATCTTCTTATGTTTCTTCGGTTGCAGATAAAATAAAAACAAATCTATATATTTGAAATAAATCGGGAAATTAGAAACTAAATTACTTTGAGGGAAAATAAAATAAACTAAATCTGAGTTAAAGGAGTTAAACTTAGATTCTTACACATGTGCGATGAAAGTCCGGATAAGTTTTTCCACACTAAGCGAATTCTAGAAGGATAACTCACTTAAAATATCAAATACAAATGTTACTTTTCATATGGAGCTAAGTCCTGACAACGGAAAAGTAAATGAATAAAACATGAG